CTTATTCATTTTCCGATTCAAATATGAATTTTATTCCCTTTACTATTGAGCTTATATTTGTCAAGAATCATTGTCCGCATAGGATGAATGGATGCCAGCATCATTTACTTACGCTTCGTATGGGAAATTCAAAGAACTCGTCACCAACCACAATCAGTCAAATCAGATCCAGGTAACCATGATTCATAAATGCAACACTATCCTCTGATTTTATTAAAAATTAATCTACAATTAGGATTATGGACTATCATACTTTGGCATAGATGGATTAAAACCATGAAAATTGGAAGGAGTGAACGAACACTTTTTGTAAACAGACATCTGGCCATTTTGCTTCGATGACCAAAGCTTCAGCACTACAGATGAGTCGGATACGCTGTGATTTGTATGTATTTTATGTATTCATGTCTATGATACAATTCTCTCACGGGTATAATTTCTTCATAAACCATCTAACTGCATTACATGTTTCAAGTAAATTACGTCTTCTTATTGTTTTGGTCGACAACTACAGACTTTCATTAACAGTTGTCTTCGCTCAATACTCAAGATCAGAAGGCCAGAAAAGGTCGGCAATAAGAATCTCTGGGATCAAACCAACCAGGAACCGATTGTGCGACAAATAGGCGGGAAGAAATGGAGATGGATTGGCCATACTCTGAGGAAACCAACCATCAAGTGACATCACTAGACAAGCCATTGCTTGAGTGGAACCTGAAAAGGAAGAGGGAGTTGGTCGTCAGTGCAAGGGTGACTTGGAGGAGGTGATGTGAAGAGGAGATGAAAGCATATGGGAAGACTTGCAGCGGGGTGAAAACTCTAGCAGAGAACCGAATGCAATGGAGACGAGCGGCTGAAGCCCTATGTTCCTCTAGAAATTAAAGGAAATTATAATAATTGTTTTGTCGAAATCTTAGCATGCTTTGAACGATAAAGATAATGATAGCTTTATTCTGAAAAGTACATTTAGACACATTACGGAACTTTCGGCGGTTTCATGAAAAAGTATTTACTCATTGTGCAGAATTTCCAAATAATTTAATAACCAATAATATACCATCTGAATTAATATTGTTTCATCTGAAGCATGATCCCTTACTACTCTACGATGTTGTTCCTCCTTCGAAAATATTCTTAACGATAGGTAGAAACTTATTTGAAATGGTACACAAATATAAATTGAGATTCACTGTGGTGATCAGATGACTAAAAATAATATGAGACAGAGTGAAGGCAGCACATTTTGATGGATAGAAAATTTAGGTTGTCCATAAACACGCCACCGATGAGAATATGCCACCAACTTATAGACTGCTCCGAAAGTTTCTACTTGAATCAATGTACTGAGAGAAGATTAAAAAAGATTACATGTAAGACGAACATAGAAAATCTGTGTCATTACCGTTTATTCTGGACGTTATAGTATGTCAGAAAACAATTCAAATTCATCCAGTCGATGAACAGCGAAAAATTACATGTAATGTAACCGCACACTGATTTAACCATCCTCTATATGTCTTAGATGTCTCACTCAGAAAGAAGTTACAGCTACTTTTTGACATCTCCACTCGTCCTACGTAATACTCCCCATATAAATTCTACATCTACTATATACAAATCCCGTCAAACTCCTCTGATATTACAACAACAAGTACTAGACTCTTCAAAAGTCTTCTGCTATCTGTGGACAAGTGTGTAAGCCAGAGATTTGACAGGAAACTGCTGCTGCACAATACACTCCTCATAAATGCGAAGTTAAATGTCTGATATTCAGCAAATCCATTACCTGCAGACTTCACTAATTTCAAATATGCTGCATACAATCTATCTGAATGTCCTGAATGTTGGCGTGCTACAGCTTACCTTCATATGACCTCTTCAGACTCCATTTGACATTATATTTCATAAACCATTTATAGCTCTATATTCAACCTGTTTTTGGGTAGAAGTTTTCACAACTTCAAGAGATTGAAAGGATTGAAGGATGAACATCAATGAGGATTTGAGTTGTAGGTACAGTCAAATAATTAACACCAAGTCCTGCAACAAGCCAGAAACCCTTTATTTATATTCAACATACTAACTTAAACTTGAACATATGCCATAGCATTTATAATAATAATAATCATACAGCATTCCTACACTATTTATTCTAGTCTTATATAATCCGATTACTACAGAACTGGTTTTTTCAACCTTTATGCAAAAGGTTATAACTATCTGTCAGTTAAATTTATGGTAAGTAATTTTATTTCTTATTCTAGGTTGAAAGGTCGTGCTTCAGGTTTACGAAATTAGGATATATGTATTTATGTACCAAACGAATTATAAGATAAAATATCCTCATTCGAGGTAGAAGTATACTTGGGTATCTACTTAGAAGAATTCCACTCAATGAATGAGCGGATTCGTCCTGCAAGAATCCTAATCAGCTGTTTCCTTCCTATGAATAAGTTAGTTATTAATTTTACCGAATAAACGTAATCCAGAATATCAAAATGGGAAGATAAGTTGTACTGAACTAGATTTAAAATACGCCGGATCTACTATTGTGTTATTAGTCAGTTCTTGAGTTTCAAACAGAGCACATGGCTGACACAACACATCTACTGTCTTTTTGCCTGGATCCATGATTCTTTCATTTCTTCTTCGTACGACTGCCATGTCACCTTCGGACGCCAGTCTCTCCACTTCCCATCAGGACTCCTCTCGACCACTTGTCCATCGTGTGATGTCACTCGGCGGTAGCTTAAAAGTATGTTCGATCCGTCTGCACTTCGTTTGCCGTAATTGTTAAGTAATAAGTCGCTGGCTATTTCACTGCCTGTTAGAATTCCGTTTTGCTTATCGTTTTTGGCTAGCTGTCTGATGTTCTGACTGACTGAGCTTCAAAGTAGAAATTTGCACACAAGTGCTGCAATTTAAGCCGCCATACTTCACATATTGCACACAAAGGTAGAGAAAGGAGAGGAGAAATTAATTAAAAATAACTAGAATGAGGAGTTATTCAAGGGAGAAAGAATATGTCTATGGTGAATAGTGAGTATTTAATCAGTCTGGAAGTTTGTGAAGAGTGGAGAAATCTGTGCCACTGAGGACTGTTTTGAGCCATCTTAGCATCCCAAGAACCCCGATCGGAGAGTCTAAACCTCCCAAGGTGGCTTTGACCAACTGCCAAAGACGTCATGGTTTGATGCCAGGTGGATCGATGTATGCAGCACGTGTCTTACCCATCTCAGACAATGAGGCTTCACGACCTCATCAGTTGCCTTTCTTTACTCACTTAGCACTTTACATCTTTATTTTCACCGTATTATACCATCTAACATAGGTGGTAGAACACAAAAGCATATGATCAAAGGCAGACAGTCTCTTCACGTCTTCTACTTTCAACGGTCACGTCTCACAGTTATGAGGAAGGACAGAAGAAACCGCTATGCACTACAAATATCCTTTAATCGATAGCTGGATATCACTTCGCTACAGATTACGTACGTTGGCAAATACAAAACCATCCTTTTGTATCGACCCTAAGATTTCGTCAGAAATCAGTCCATTAATGCTGATACAGCTTTTAAAATAAGTAAAGTGATCAACAGGCTTAGCCACTTCACTTTCTAGCTTTCAATTACAAATCAGTTTCGCATAGTCCTGAAGACTCATCTTACATCTTACAGAGACGATGCTGATGACACTTGTTGACGCCTAGTTTACTAGCTCGCCGGCTTTGTAGCCAGTCGAAAGTGCGAGAAAAGAGGGAGGGTTGTGCGTGGGGCTAGCCACCCTACGCCATAAAACCAATCAAACTACTACCGAAACTTCAGCGCACAAGAAAAATATTAAAAATACCAAAAATATAAAAAACAAGCTTGTCTTTCCCTGGAATTGGAGCGGTGAAATGACACAGCCAGCCGGTGAAAGCTTTCGAGAAACCAGTCAGCCGATGTGTCTTCTCTCGACGAAAGCAAGGATAAGGTTGGGGACGTGGAATGCATGTACAATGTACGAGGCTAGCAAAACTGATTATGTAGCCAGAGAAATAAGAAGATATGGTATTGAAGTGCTAGGAATCTTCCAGAGCAGATGGAATCGATGTGGATTATCAAAGTTATCAACTAGAGAGTGAATAATCTACTCCGATCTGGCTACCCAGACGGCAACCACGAGCACACTGAGGCAGTGAGTGGCTATCATGATGTCATCAGTGGTAGCCAGATATCTTATACAACGGGAACCAGATTCACTCGCAGGATCAGGACAGCAAGATTCAAATCAAAAGGAAGGAAGGTAACAACTATCCAGTGCTACCTACAATGCTACAAACAACGCGGAACAAGAGAAGAAGGCAGATTTCTACAGACAGCTACAAACAGCTAAGTCCAAACGAAACGAAAGCAGACCTGCTATTGAAGAAAAATATTAATACATCTACAATCTAAGTTGAAATTATTTGTATTCAGATTGTTTTATCTGTGTAGTGAAGCTGAAAGTCTCAGTCAACAGTTTCCATTCTGAAAATATCATTATTTTAATTGAAATTCCAGCTAGTAAATAAAAGTGAAGTTTGTCTACAGAACTTTCATCTATTTTGACTAATTATTCATACAAATGCCACGCGCAAGTTTAGGCTCAGTGTTAACTTTGTTTTATTAAAAATTATTTGTTTGTTTTTTTTGTTGTTATTTTTTTTGTTTAGATATTCCAAGAAAATTAATTAAACTATACACAAACTTCCGACCAATAGAGGTCAAGAATATTACGTAACAGTGAATATTTTCTTTCAAAGTCATTAGAATACTCTACCCTAAGTAGTATATTACAATACTACTAGACAGTCTCATTAAATATCCAATCAATAGTTTCCAATAGGAAAATAATTAGGACTTGTATAATAAAGTTATATTGACTTTTCTATTGGTGTGTGTTGCGTGTATATGTCTGTCTGCATTCTATGAGAAAATGTCCGCAATATATAATAAAATGATCATGTTTGAAATATTTGCTTTTTGTTATTTCTACAACTACTATTACTACCGACATTAACTGTACAATGGGATTGTCCGCGAACACATTGAATAAGGAAGCGATTCGAGCTCATAATGAGTAAGTTGTGTACATGTATTTTGTGTAATGCCTTTATAATACATCCCTCCATGTTACTAGTGTGTGTACACCATCACTATTTTTTTGATTTTTGAAAAATATGTTTGCAATTTTTAAAAGTTGAAGATATTACTTTAGGATTATTTTTCATTCGTTTACGTTTCCAGTTGGACACAGGGCTTCAAGCTAGAGCTATGAAGTTTTAATTGCAGTGAGGTTTACTTTTACAGGATGCAGTTGCTAGCCTCATGTTTAACCTTCCCTCTTTACCTGTCTTATTACTGGCTTAAGGAGGTAAACGGGTGCACCGGCCGGGGATCGGACCCCTGTGGTTGGCGATCATCCTACCGCCGTGCCAATGATGCACACTTTGGGATTAGTGGATGATAAATTACCCTCGTAACATTTTGATTAAATAATTAAGTACCCCTCTGGGTTGTAGCAAATTAAATCATTCTATGATAGAATCGTACTTTACCACATTGCTGAAATTCAGTTTCCAAATCACTAAACGACATTATTTTGTTTTCAAATGGAAATCTTCGAATTTATCTCTCGTAAAATAATCCCATTTAGTATGAATAAGTATTTCTAAGTTAAAAGTAAAATTGATTGCTGACTCACTCATCTCTACAACGTTTGACACTTTATTTATGTGTTCGGGTTATCAACACTGAAAATACTGTTTCACTGAATCATGAATGGAGCTAAACGAAACGCATAACAGAAACTTAGTTTATATATGTTATCACTTAAATAGTTCATTTAGTTATTGAAGGTACTTTAGACCTTAAAATGACATGCATTTACTAAACAAACACATTTGATGTTTCTGTTACATGGTCGCTTGTGAGAATGATTTTTCGTGAATCATTTCCGTCTGTGAAACTCCAGGTCATGACCTGATGTTCTTCTGTAGTTATGAATTACGTGGAACTAAATGCTAGTACGATTCACCTATAACTATCAGGTTTTCTTCACAAACATAAATTCATGACTTCATTATTGGAATTATGATGAACCATTTCAACATATGTACACTTCAGTATCACGAAAACCCCATTTAGAAGGCAAAACGATTAAAAGGAGAATGTTCATTTCTATGACTCCTACATCAGCTTCTGCAGTCATATATGCAAGATATTTAAATAGTAATTGTTAATTATTATTTTTAAAAATTTTATTCCTTTACGTTCCCCAGTGGAACATAGGGCTTCAAGCTACAGGCTTGAAGTTTCTGCAGCAGTATTGTTTATTTTTACAGGATGGGGTGGCTAACTTCATGTCCAACCTTCCCTCTTTACCACTGTTACTACTGGCTTAGAGAGGTAAAGGGGTGGACCGGCCAGGAATTGAACCCTGAACTACATACATGAGCATTCTACTGCTGTGCCACGGAAGCACAGTAATTGTTAATGATAGCACTGATTTTATTTTTTAAATAGTACGGAGTAAATCATACCAAAAGATTATGGTTCAAAAGCATGTATAATCGATAACGTGCATAAATATAATGCTAAACTGTACATCAGATAAAATTAAGAATAGTTAGAACAATAACAAGCTCTCAGTAACTTAGGGTGTGGGCGAAACTGTCAGGTTATTACACTCAAGTGAGGAAGGCATCTGTACGGAGTTCATCTGAACACATAGGTTCGGCTTCTTCAGCTGGATTCCGATAGCTCCACCTAAATGTAGGGGACGAACTCCCAAGACAAAATCAAGATAAGTTGAAGTATAATAACTGTAAATGCTTTGTCGGAATCAACCTTATTGTTAGTATCTATAGAGTAAGACAAAAGACAGCTACTAACCAACGGTGTTTATCGCTTGCTCAATCATGAAGGATGATGTCCAGAAATCCAATGATGAACATGTCTGATTTTATGCTCAGTGTAAAGGGTTACACAGGAGATATACATAGTGGCAGTTTCTTCTAATTTTCAGAACTTAAAAGTGAAATGATTGTGTTAAGATAGTGTTACTCTGCTGCAATGAATGGTGTTTTCAGTGTGTTTTTTTAGGTGGTGTGTTATTTCACTGATATTATTTGAAAACATTTATGTTGTGAATAAGGTCTACTCTTGAAATATTATACATACACAACTATAGGACCTGATGAAGAAGTCATCGATTTTTTCTTTCCTCAGTTGTTTGTCTTCTAGATGCATATCCATTTTTTTTAAATACTTAATTCTTTAGACTCCAGGACTTGAGATGGATAATAAAAAAGCTAAAGAAATACTTAGTTTAACTTTGACACCTACTGATTATGATATGACATCTACGCTGAAAATATGCACTGACGTTGGATAATGCTTCACCTAGGTGTATTTCATTTTTGAAGGAAGATAACACTATTCATATGACTGCCATATGTCGGTTCGGTTACATGCTGCTAATCTACAAAAAGTTGCAGTAGTACACTTCACACTCCATCTAGTATTATCTAGTCAGGTAGGTAGTATCATAGTCTGTCATGCAGGATTTTGTAGTAAACTCATTTTTTAAATCCCTACTAGATTTCTTCAACATATTCTCATTTCAAAAGAATATCCATTTTATATTCTTCCAGCATTCCTTGTATGCATTCTGGGAGCTTTATTAATTAATTGATCCTAACTTTGTTAGCCTTAGTTTAATCACAAACTTCGGGTTCTTAGAAGGCAACAGACAACAGTTTTTCCAGCTAACACTCAATGTCGTTTAATGTGATGGTTGGTTTAGTAGAAGTTATTATAGAGACAGTGCATGTTACAGGATTTATACATCCCTGTGAATTCATCCTGATGGAAAGTGATTAAAGCAGAAGATAGAATCCACTGAAAATTTACTTATTCTTGTGAAAACGTTTTTATTGTTATGTATGTAGAAAAGTGATCAACCTATAACGAGAAATTTGAGCATTGTGATGGAGTCTAATACATAATGGTAGTGTTAATAGCCCCCTATATCTGTGTGTTATGTCAAAAAACTTATCTTTGACTTGAAAATTAATTAGCATCCTGAATGACAGTCCTTCAGTAAATACATTTTTGTAAAACCCTATGTAACGTATTTGGTGTTGTTAAGCTATATGGGCTAGGGTGGTTTCTTTCTAGATGAATCTATATCATCTCTCCTCGTTATTGTTTTATGTTCATAGATGTAAAGATTGAGTGAGTGAGCCATTCACTTCAGTTCACCCCATAGATTATGTTAGTTTTGCTTTCTTCTGGTGTCGACTTTTAAGTTCTCAATAACAAGTGGTGAAGTGATCGTCAGATGAATTGACGGTAGACAGTTTTTTGACTAGGTTTCATGGATTTCCATTTTTCTGGAAAACAATCGTAAAATATTTATTCTGTATTCTTCTCAAGGCACAGTAGTATCTTGGCTCTGTAAAATGGTGCTTGATTGCAAGTGATTTTGAGTACTACTGGATTTTTGATGTTGATTTTCGGTATACTTGTTTTTCCAGTTTTACGGTTCTTATGAACCAAACCAAGATGTAGGTTTTTTCTGAATCCTCCTGACTTGTGAATTTTTGTCGTCAAAATCCTAAGCCAACGCGTCTAATTATTATGAATGCGTCATTCATGCGATATATTCATAACTTTGATTTGCTAAGTAGAACCATAGATTCTGTTGTTTGCATAACTGTCTCATCAAGTATTTCTGATATGTGATAAAAAAGTTTTCCTTCACGTTCCCACTGGAACATAGTGCTTCAAGCTAGTGGCTTGAAGTTTCTGTAGCAATGCTTATTTTACAGGATCGGGTTGCTAGGCTCATGTCCAACCTTTCCTTTTAACTAGCATTATTTCTGGCTTAGTGAGGTAAAGGAGTGAGTCGGCCGGGGATCGAACCCCGGACCATGTGAATGGTCAGCGAGCGTCCTAACCGCTGTGTCAGCGATGCACTGTGATGAAATCAGTGTTCCTTTTTAATTGTTTTTTGTCCAACTACTGGACTGAAAGTAATTTGTGGGGCATAAATCTACTGGCCGCATCCAACCACCATTACATTTTTGTCCGGCCACGTAGTGTGTATCATTCTTAGGTGATTCTTGCATAGTATTTTTCACCAGCTTTTGTCCACTAGAAGTATACAATGTTGCAACATTCAAAGACACCATAATTTGATCATTTTTTGGTCGAATATCTTTGATTTCCTATGGAAAATTAATGGGCACTTGATAAGAAATATCAGAATTCTACCAGCTAATTTAGTTTCCCGTAACACTTTCCAGATTAGATTTCGGGTTTAGGCTCTTAGGAGAGGAACAGCCAGTTGGAGAGTGATGTCCAGTGTGTGCAGTTTGAACCTACTGTGAAACTGTGATAAAATGAGTCTGTTAGATCCCATTTACCAGTAATCTTGCTTTTTATCTATTCTGACTTTGTGATTATAATTATGGTCCTTTTGCTTCGATTGTCTAGTGTTTAAATACGCTTTGTAGGCACACACGTGAGTTTTTTAGCCTTCCTCTCCCTTCTTTTAGTGTGGTTTGCTGTTTCTATTCCGACTATGGTGCCGCAAGTGTCCCGTAACACTAAAACGATATTCACTTAGTTCGTCAATGTTTTCAAGGAGTTTTAGTCTTGAATATTCTTTTGAGCTTTTTATTTACGAGATACATCACATATTTAAATAGTATTGTTTACTGTATGACTTTTCAAGAAATATTTACTGTTAATAATCATATCGTTTGTAACTTCATGAGTTGGAAACTTAGTCATCTATAGCTCACCTTCTTCGTCATAATTCATTGCGAGAATAGTAGTTTCGACTAGACACTAGTCAGTAACTAGGGCAAAGTGTCTAATCCTTTGTTGTGGTGCAAACTGAATTCGATCAGTCAAATTTGCACTGCGGCCACCATGCTACATTGCACTTGTTACTGACTAGCGGTAAATCAAAAATATCCAATACAATCCTACAGGAGGTCAATCGCGACCTGTATTAGCTCAGTGGTAACGTTTCTGACTGCAACACTGCACTAGGTGACGCGGGCTAAA